CGTTTGGCAGATTCTGGCACGCAGTAGCCAACTTCAGGGCGGCGTCCAACAACATGTGTGTGTGTGTGGGTGTGTGTGTGTGTGTGTGTGTGTGATTGTGTGTGTGTCAACACGTAAGATAGGGGCAACAACTGGAGTGCGAGGGTAAGGCAGGCGAGAGGTGTGTGATGAGATTCGCAGAATTCTGAACACTCACCGCTACTTCATGAGCTCAATCGACCTTGGTGATTACCTGTCGGTAGAGACTGTCACCACCTGCTGGACAGGTCCATTTCGGGAGCCATGTGTGGGAGCACGTCATCCATACAGAAAGACAGACAGACTGTCTGTTAGACCGACAGTCTAACACAGGGACACACATCTAGACAGACCTACAGAGAGACAGACCGACAGACAGACTGATTGACACACTGATAGACACACAGACAGACTGACAGACAGACTGATTGACACACTGAAAGACAGAAAGACTAACTGACAGACACACGAACAGACAGACTGACAGTCAGACTGACAGACAGACAAACAAACAGACAGACAGACAGGAACACAGACAGACTGACATTAGGACAAACAGAATTACAGACAAGCAGGACCCTGTAAACAGACAGACAGACAGTCAAACAGACAGACAGACAGACAGACAGACAGACAGACATACAGACATACTAACAGACCGACAGACAGACCAGGGGGACAATGAAAATACACACAACTGCCATCACATTCAAGCTCGGAGGCCACCATGGGGACGATCATCCCCGCAGCAGAAAAAGAAAGCAAGAAAGAAACAGAGGAAGAAGGCAAAAATGATATTAAAAAAAAAAAACAAAAAAAAAAAACGCGTTACACCACGAAGACTAATCAACCCGCCTAACACCACGAACATTTGTCCTCTCTCTCTCTCTCTCTCTCTCTCTCTCTCTCTCTCTCTCTCTCTCTCTCTCTCTCTGCACCTAATCAACCCGCCTCACACCACGAAGACTAAGCATGACAGACAGAGACAAGACAAGCGTTCCGGAAGCACACACACACTGTCTCTTATGCAACCTTCTTTCTTGCGCCACCCCCCCTACAATTCGGTGCCGGTGGCTTTCTCTTCTTCGCGCCTGCTCCCCGGCCTTCCCTCTCAGCCTGTCTGGCATCCATCCGTCGCTGCCTGTCCTCAGCTCGAGCCCTCTCGTCCAATATCCCCTGATATTTCTCCACCCAGCGAGGCTTCGTCAACCTATCCACCAGCCTCATATCCCTCACCTGGATGGTCACCCTCTTCGAGTGGATCGCCACTTCGTTTGTGTTCTCGAAGTGGGCGACCAGGTAAGCCTCCGCAGCCTCCATCAAAGCACGCACAGCCGTCATCTGGAACCTCAGGCCCTTATTAGGGGTAATGTCCTTCTCCACCANCCGTCATCTGGAACCTCAGGCCCTTATTAGGGGTAATGTCCTTCTCCACCACCTCGCGGACGACGCGCAAGAAGGGCCTGAAAGGGATACAAAGGTCGGTGGATCGTTACAGCTTCCTGATCTCTGTCAAAGCTGCCATCCCGGGGTGTCTGCGGCGTCTGTGGACCCGTGCAGGCGCATCTGCATTGTTACCGGTCTGTGGCACAGGCTGGGGGTTCTTCTTTTGCTTGTCACCAGCCGTCTTCCCCCTCCGCGGCCTCGACACAACCGCCATCACCTTCCTCGGGCTGTGGGACATCGCTGTCTTGTTGGGCCCGGCCACGTCACCCTGCGCTGCAGAGCACCCTGCAACTCGCTCACCGCCACATAGGCCCTCCACCTCAGCAGACAAACCGTACTGATGTCCCGGGCGCGTCTCCTCCGTCTGTCCCGGCCTCCGATGTCCACCTCGGGTGTCCTCGGCCACCATATACCGAATGTCTCGCAGGAGGCCATCCGAGTACGTCAGCAGAAACGGCACACCAAGCGGGTCCCTGAACCTCATCATCATCTCTCCACCTTGCTCGTATGTCATGCGACATACGGCCGGGACCCAACCAACAAGGGCGGAGCAACCATGCCTGCGGCAGATGTGAGCCATGTACCTGTTCTCGCCATCGCCCTGCCCTTGCCCACCAGGACTCCMCTYAACCATGGACCACATCCCCTGGTCTGGCATGGAGTCGTAACCCATGCACACCATCTGACGGTCCTCCTCCCTTATCTTCTCCCAGCACCGCTTTGCATGCTCCACAACCAGCACGTGGTCCTTCACATCTGCATTGAAAATGGAGACACGTGCGACTACCACCAAGAACTGCCACTGCTCCACCATGCCTGCATGCATCCACCCCAAGGACAGCCAATGGCCTGTCTGCAGTTTCGCTGCCATGGTCCCCTTGCCATCAACTGTTGCCGGCTGCAGACATCCTGGGACCCAGTTCACACGATATCCATACTTCTGAGGGGCCATATGCTGCTGCAACTGCCCCTCAGGGATGACATGGGCCGCAATGTCTATGGCAGCCAGAACGTCAGGGTTCAGGTTGAATGGGCCCCATACCAGCGTGGTTATTCCATCAGCCGTAGCGTCCTCCCCTCTGGCATGCGTGTATGTGTACCCATGGTCACCCGCGAACACTTTCCCCTCTGCCACCTCGAGCTCCACAGGGTTCCGAAGAAGCGGCGAAAAACAACGAGCACCAGGGGTGGGACAAACCATCGTCATCTTCTCCTCTTCAGTCACCTCCCTGTTCAGGTGCCTAGATGAGAAGTTGTCGTTTATATAACACGTGGTCCATACATTCCCCATGGCATCAC